CCCTTTGACATGTCGCTAACTTCAATAGCGTTCTACGGTCTTGGTCTCAACAACTCCATCATCCTGAGTGCTATCGGGTGGAGCGGCGGCAAGAATGTCTACGAGGTCTTCTACAAGAACGCCGTCGGTAACCTGATCCTGATCTGTGCGGGTGCCATCCCCGGCTACTGGATGACCGTGGCCACCGTCGACACCATCGGCCGCAAGCCCATCCAGCTGGGCGGCTTCATCATCCTGACCATTGTCTTCATCGTGATCGGGTTCGCCTACGAGCCCCTGAAGAAATCCAACAACGGTCTGCTGGGTCTGTACGTCATCGCGCAGTTCTTCTTCAACTTCGGCCCCAACGCGACCACCTTCATGGTGCCCGGCGAGTGCTTCCCCACCCGCTACCGGTCCACCTCGCACGGTCTCTCCGCCGCGTCCGGCAAGGTGGGCGCCATCATCGCGCAGTGTGTGTTCGGACCGCTGGTGCACAAGGGCTCCAAGGACTCGTCGCAGTCGCCCTGGCTCAACCACGTCATGCAGATCTTTGCTCTGTTCATGCTGTGCGGGTGCTTCACCACTCTGCTCATTCCCGAGACCAAGCGCAAGACCCTGGAGGAGCTGTCGGGGGAGGACTTTGACAGTGATACCCTGGTGCATCCCTCTCCGATGATCCAGGCGGAGAAGAAGATGGACCAATCGACCGTTGCGGCTGTTTGATGTAGGTGAATCTTGGATAAGATGACTGGCCGATGTCATGACTAGCAATAATTAGGGAAAGCGTTCCTTTGTTGTAGATACCATAGCTAATTGTGTACTCTAATCAATTGCATCTAACAGAGTCCACATCTATACAAGAATCCACCACAGTAGATAAGCACGCAAGAGCGACAAGACACTGGACACTTCATCAGAATCTAGAACAGATTCAAATGGATTTAAACCCAGTCGCATCGTAAGAAAAACTCCCGTCTTCATTAATTTCTAAAACCAGTTAGGGCAAACGAGGTTCAGGTGGCGTTGGAATCTGTCCTTAAAACCCTGACTCCCCTCTAACTCTCTCTCTCTCACTCTCACTCTCACTCTCTCTCACTCCTCAACTCAATACCACCCACCAAACCAAACCACACCCAAAATGTCCACAAAACCCACCACCACCGCAGAAACCCAAACCCAAACTGCCAACGAAATCCCCGACCTAAAAACCTCCCCCGCCACAACCAATGCCGACCTCACCGCCGCCCACCGCCTCATCGCCGACTCCGTCGCCCAACAGCGCCAAACCGCCGCCCGCGCCCTCATCTTCCACCCGCTCTGGCTCTCCGCCATGGCCGCCCTCATCGCAGCCGTCTACAAAGCGCTCTACACTACCCCCGCCGACCTCCCGCTCATCGGGACCACGAGCGCGGGGTGCGTGATGGCGGGGTTGTTGGTTGTGCGGGCGTTGACGGGCGGGTATATCGAGGAGGCGGAGAGGGTTGGGAGGCGGGAGTGGCTTTTTCCTACTCCTACTCCTAGTTCTGGGACTGAGGGGGCTTCCGAGGGAGAGCAGGTGGTTCTGGTGACGAAGTTCGGGGAGAGGGTTATCGGGGCGGTTGTGCTGCGTGGTATTGCTGCTGCTGCTGAGGAGAAAGTGACGGGGGTTATTCGGGCGTGGACGGTTGAGAGACGGTACCGGGGGAAAGGCGTGGGTGTTGAATTGCTGGAGGAGGCGGTTGGGATGTGCAGGGAGAAGGGATGGGGGGGTCCGGTGTTTGATGAGGAGCATGCGAATGCGAAGAGGGTGTTGCCGGGGTGGTTTGATGGGGGGTTGGAGAGGAGAGAGAGGTGGGCGAGGGAGGTGCTGGAGGGGGTGAAGAAGAGTATGAAGTAGATGGCTTGAATGGATGCATAGTATTTGACTTTGTTTAATGTTTATACTCACACCCAGATGTTTGATCAAAATCTTGTATAGAACACTTGGCAGAAATAGTCATGAACTCCTTGTGCTTGAAGCATGTATCTTGAAAGATGGTGGTAGATTGACAAGAGAGGATATCATTTCTGTTCTATGGATTTGCCTGTCATCCTGGCTACTATCTGCCATACAATAAGTCTGATGAGCATACTCTATCTATTCTCCTGTCCGAGAGCCAGTATGATTTTACCAAGCTTATTTATACCTGTAGGTGATGACATATCAAAACAGATCCAACTTGCTTCATGTATCAAAATATTCTGGAGCCTACTCAAATCTGATCAATCAAGTACCTATTCAGTTCCACAGACGACGTGGAATCTCCCCAGGATACCTAAATATAGCACTCGGATACCCCGACACTCCACATGATTGGCGGTAGGACTGTTGATCAGTGTCTGACAGTCTTTGTTTTGTTGTCATGCGATGTGAGTCTGGATCATCTTCACTTCAAATAATATAACTAGCAGCCTCTGTCATCAATTCTTCTGTTCTCAATCAACACAAACAAGCTATTCATCCTTCTAGCCGACCACCCAATCCAGTACAGATATAAATACCTCCAAAATGCCATCAACAACAACCTCCACCGCCGCCTCCGCAACCTGCACAGGCAACCGCTGGGTCCTCCCTGTGCAGGACGTCGCCTGCGCCCTGCCCGCCACGGGCAACTACACCTCCGTCATGGACAAATGCTGCTCCCCCGCGGCAGTCACGAAATACAACGCCGGGTGCGACCTGTACTGTCTCGCGCAGGGCCAGAGCATGGGTGATCTGCTGGGCTGCATCAAGGAGAACGGCGGCAACGAGGATGTTTTCTGTGGGGGGCTGGTGAATGCCACCGCGACGGCGAGTTTGAGCTCGACTGCTTCGAGGACGGGGACGAAGACGGGGGCGACGGCGAGTTCGACGAGGGAGAGTGGGGGTGGTGCTGTGAAGAAGCCTGTGTGGGTGTTGGGGGTGGGATTGGTGGTGTTGGTGGTTTGTGGGATGGTTATTTGATTGATCTGTTGGTTAATCTTGTCGCTCTCTTGTATCTGGTAAGAGCTATAGCAATGCGCTGTAGGAAGTCCTTGACACAATGCGCGACTCTATACTTCAACCAGATCCAAGGCAATGAAGCAACTGGCAGAGTAGCCTTGTATGTGTCATTCCCAGTGCAGATGGCTATCTGACCATCGAACAACTGGAGCTATCCCGAATGCGCTTCGACCGTTATCCTCCGACTGAACATGGACACTTGAGAAAAGCGTGGAGTATCTGCTGTGAGGGGTGCTATCCTTCCTGCTGATTAGTATCAGTATGTGTTAGTATTCTTGAACATGCCACTGCAATGCTGCAACTGAAAATGCCACCCAGATGGACGGTCAACGGTTTGTATATCGATCATTATATTGAAAATATCCATGAGGGATGAGAGAAAGTGGCTGCTGTGTCTGCAGACCAAATCATGTACTCAGTGACTCATCCTCCGGTGTAGTTCTGTTCTGATCTGGCAAATAGCATGCGACGGTTCGATCCTCCGACGGATTCTCAAACATGGAACCATGACGCTTCAAGACAGTAGCTGTTGCAACGATTGATACATGGATCAAAAACACGAGAATTCTCAGTACTTGAAGATCAAGGTTGAACGCATGTTCTCATTATCCACTCTCAGCTGGTGGCCATGTGGACAGTGGACATGTCCGAAAGTTGAGCAATATACCCAAACAGGAAATGCCCCCAACTATACTGCACCTCCGTTCCCAAAACGGCAAAAAGCCCAACCATCGACTCCGTCCTCACCACCATTTTCGATACTACGGAATATGAACGATCGATCAATTCTCATGCTCGGCAGGAATCCCCGGCAACCCCATCCACAACCCCAAGATCCCACCCAGCAAGCCAATCGCAAACGGCTGCAACACCTTGACCCCCTTGGCCTGCGCAATCGCCCCAACAGCAAACGGCAGCACCGCGGCGCCTCCCCCTCCAAACGCCGCCGCGAAGCCAATCGCACTGACGTGCAAACTCCGCGGCAGCAACTTGGTCGCCACGACCACGACAGCAGGGAACAGCGGACCGAGGAAGAAGCCCTGGATCGAGACGGCCACGGTGGAAACATAGAAGTTCGGAACAAGCCAGAGGATGAGACCAAAGGCAATGGCGGAGACGAGATAGATCTGCTGGCATTAGCGCACATCCGTATAACCTCAAACCTCCTCCGTACGAAGCGCTGCGTACGAAGGCAAGAAGACACACAGAAATGGCCAGTTTCTCCCCCACCCTCGGAGTAACAAACCCCAGCACCACCCGGCCAACCGTAATCCCCAACCAGAACCCCGTCGCCGCCATCCCACTCGCAAAGGGCTCCCCGTGCCGCACGCGCATCATAAAGGTGACGATCCACCCGCCCAGCGCAACCTCCACGCCAACATACAACAGCAGGAAAACCGCACACAGCCAGGTAACCCGGCCCGCGCGCTTCGTGAACAGCGCCTTGCGCAGGCCGGCCCCGGCCCCGGCCCCAGCCCCCGCACTCGAATGCTGCATGTCCCGCCGGAAGACCGCCCCGGTATCGTCCCAGAAGCAGTAAACCGAGGTCCCCAGCTCGACGGCCGCGCAGCCGATCTGACCCATCGTCAAGTCAGCCACTCTCATAAGGGGAGAGAGGAAGGAGGGGAGGAAGGCAAACCATGATGTAATAGAAACACCACCACCCCACGCCCGCCTTCGTCACCAGCGCCGTCGCAACCAGCGGCGCAAGCACCGCCCCGGCCCCGTAGAACCCGTGCAGCAGGCCCAGCACCTGGTTCGCGTCCGCCATGTTGCCCACCCAGGCATTCCACCCCGAGTCCGCGAGCCCGTTGCCGAACCCCGCGAAGACGAAACTCACCACGAGAACGGGGTACGGCGGGTGCAGGCAGTTGATGATGTACGCGAGCAGATGGCACGAGGGCGCGATGAGGGCCACGCCGCGCCGCCCGAGGCGCAGGTGGATGTGGTTGTTTGTGAGCGCGGCGAGGGTATACCCGCCTAGCGGGGAGAGGAAGACGAGGGAGACGATGGTGTAGGTGAGGGAGTAGTGTTGTTCCAGCTGGGTCTGTCAGTTGTCGGGCAGTGGTCCAGTATACAGATACGTACGTAGGGGATTAGTGGCTGTTGTGCTGTCAGTTCGAACTGAAATCAAGGGACGGAGTAGAAGGGTGCTATGTGCTCACACCGTAGGCGGCGTCGTTCGCGCCCATGACGAGAAAGCCCCAGAAGGTCGCAAGGGTCTTGTAGATGTTTGACTTGGGATGGTTCCATCGTTCGATGGCGGGAAAGACGTTCCCTGGTGGTTGTGATGCTTGGGTTTGGATGTTCGCGAGCTCGTGGCTGTCTTCGTCTTCATTCCGAGTATATGTTTTTGTAGTAGTAGTAGTTGTTGTTGTTGCCATGTCGGTACAGATATCCAGAGCACCTTTCATGAAAAGATTATGGAAATTTCAGCCTGGTCGATCCATAAGCTGCTTTTATAGCCTGCCACGACTGTCAACTGGTAATCCCGATTTCCCCGATTAGGCTGAGCTCGTTCTCCACTTATTCTACCTTTTGCTACGGGGAAACTCCGGTCTACAGTGGAGACTGTGGAGGAGCCTAAGTACCTCTCTAGAGTACAAGTCTATTCTTGGCTGGGTGACTCATGACTCATGATCGGGGTAATCCTTGGCAGCAATACAGACATTGATCTCCGTTAATCCAAAACCCTGACACCCACAAAATCCGCTGCATAAGATTGGAACCCATCCTCCCCGCCCTCGTTCCCAATCACGACCTTATTCTCCCCCCTCTTCCATCCAGAGGTCAGAACCCCCAGCGTCGCTGTATCCCACCATCCCTTGCCAGGCGAATACAGCTCGCTATGCCGTCCGCTCAACGGGACCTCCAGTCGCACCGGCGCCCCGTCGTTGACGCTGACGGTGAGATTGCGCGAGTTGGACCCCCAGCCCCAGGTTGACGAGAAGCCGACCTCGTTGTTGATGTAGTCGATCTCGAGGTACTTGGATCCCGGGGTGGTGGCTGAGATCCATGTGTAGGCGTTGCTGGTGGGGTCGAGGTAGCCGATTTTCGAGCCGACGGGGTTGCAGCCGGAGGCGCAGGTGGTGTGCTGGGCGCTGCCGGTAACGCTGAAGATTGTGTTGGCGTAGTAGGTGCCTGTTGGTGGGGTAATCTGGATAGACTCGATAGGGGTGGTGTGGCGGATGGTGATGGTGTTGGATCCAGAGGCCAGGGCGATTCGGGTGGATTTGCTGGAGATCGCGAGGGTTTGGCCGGAAGAGGTCGTGATGGTGATGGTTTCGGTGGATGGTCGGGAGAAGGTGATGGTCAGCGTGTAGTTTGTACTTGTAGTAGCTGCGTAGATTGACTCGAAAGTGGTTGTTTGACTGCCTGTAGACTTGCCAAAGATTCTGGCTGGATATGAACCCGACGGGACGGTATCCTGCAACTCCAGCAGCATCGTTCCGTGTCCTGCCACCGTCGCGGAGTACGACGTTCGCACATCACGAACCACAGTCTTGCCCCAGATATTTCTGACAACTCCCGCATACTGCAGACCAACATCAGGCAGATCGAGCGTGAGCTCCCTCGACTCATTTCTCCAGTTGATGACCGCCACCACCGTCCTGTTGCCCGACAGTGGTCCACTCCACACCTCATACCCTTCGTCCGACCACCTCCGCCTCAGACTCGCGCTCACCCCCAGCTCATCCTGATTAAACCCAACGACTTCCTCCTGCTTCAGCACCTCCAACGACGCCTGGGTGATACTAGTGACATCATCTTTCAAGGCCGCCCCAATAATCAACGGGCTCTTCAGAATCGCCCACAGCGAGAAATGCGTCTGCTCCTCCGGCACCGAAAACACCCCATTCCCCACCTCCAGCATATCCAGATCCGGCCACTGACCAGGCCCAGCAAAGTCGGTTTGCGGAACGGCCTGGTTCAGCGTTCGGAAGATGCTTCGCCACGCGGGGATAATGTCGTTGCCGATGCGCCAGGAATGGCCGAGCTCAGGCGCCCAAAGAGCGGGAAAGTCGATACCCCATTCGCAGATCTGGAAGAGGATTGGCCGGTTGACGCGGGAGAGGGCGGAGGACATATTTGCGTAGCGGGGACGGGGAGATGTGCTAGGCTCATAGTTGACATTCGGGTAGTTGGTGGCGGCGTCGGAGTAGCAGTTGTCATCTACACGGTCAGCGGGTCTCTATCTTCAAGAGACGAACATACACTTTAATGAGTCCACCTCCCACTCAGCGAACGTTTGCGCATCCTGTTCTTCGTGGTCTGCTAAATTAGCGAAGCCAAAATCAAGGACGATGGGACTTACACAAGCTGCCGACTTGGTCTGGGGGACTCCCGCACAATTTGATCCCCGAGTCCTGGTAAACGCCAAACAGCAGCCCTAATCCGTGGAGATATCTTCCCATGGCGGGAAACCCGCTTGGAAACGAGGTCTCGTTCCAGGTCAAGGTGCCATTCGGCAGCCGATCAGCTACCGTCCAGCCGCAGTCGGTGGTCACGTAGCGGTAGCCTAGTGAGGAGAGTCCTAGATCGACCAGCGCTCTGGCGTTGGAGTATACTATGGTTTCATTAGGCGTGCATGCATAGTGGTTGTAAGTGTTCCACCTGGCTAGTCAGTACAAGTCAATCTTCAGCAGGAGCAACATACCCCATAGGTGGTGTCTTAGCCAGGCCATTGTTGAGACGTGGATGAAGAGAACCAGCCGCGAGAACTGGCGAAAGTAATAGGAGTGTGACAATGGACTCCATCTTGCTGCTGTGGACAACAGACTGAAATGAATCAAGCTATTTATATTCTTTATGCTAAACTGGCTAATAACCCAATTCGGCGTAGTTCCTGTGGTACATCGCCTGAACCTTGTCGATATGCGGAGAATTTCCCAGTTGGGAGTCGAGCAAATGCAGATCATTCAAAAAGCGGGGAAATCGCGGTTGAATATAATAGCATTCTGCAGGATAAACGAAGCCATTGCCTCCTTTGAATGCCCAAGCGTGTTGCAAATCATGTCGACCGCTTCTCGGGAGCCATCGCAGCAGCTCTGCCGTGTCCTGTGATCTTCAGAGATTAATATCCTTCAAAGGTATGTTAAATTGGATTGTCTCGCAATCCTCAAGAGCTTGGATCCCCCTAGTAAAGGTGTATTGGTAAGTCAAGGGTTGATTGCGGGATGAAACATCCCATTACGGTTCCCTCCTCAGTTTGATGCCAGATTGACAGGCTCAAAGCTATGTCAACTCTTCTGACCAAAAAAGTGATCAATCCGTTTCTGCCGCTGATCAAAAGTGGCACTCCCGACTCCTCCCTGCGTACGCTGAAGATCCGCCAGATGCGCTCGAGTATTCACCCCAAGCACCTGCAACGAATACCCACCCAGAACCGGCATGTCCGAATCTCCTACCAGAGGACTCAATCTCGGACGAACCAACACCTCCAAGTACCCCGTATTCGTCCAGACCGGATTAAACGCGTTAATATCCGCGTCTCCCCCAATCCGAACATCGCCCGGAGGGAAACAGGCGAGTAGAGCGCGCCACAGACTCCGTAGAAGTAGCCCGTGCGAGACAACAGCAACGGCAGCCTCGTCACCAGTCTCGTCACCCTCGATAAGCAAGGGGAGTAAGAAGTCAGCGAGAAATGTATTTGCGCGCTGGCGCATGGAGGCCTCGGATTCCGGCTGCTTGGGGACAATGCTCGATTCCCAGGTTGGATGCCACTTTTTCCCCTCGAGGGAGCCAAAGTCGCGTTCGCGGAGGGATGGCAGGAGTACCGGGGTTAATTCTGGCTGGTGGGCGCTGAGACCTTGGGCCGTGAGAACGGCTCTGGAGAGATCTGACGAGAAGATATGGCTGAATTTGATGTTTTGGGAGGCGAAATATCTCCCCAGACGGGTGATCTGGAGGGCGCCGTGATTTGTCAGGGGGGAGTCTTTGATCCCGGCTCTGTTGGCGTTAGTGATTGTAGGACAAGTAGGAGGGTGGCTTACAATCTATGAGCGACATTATCGACTGTTTCCGCATGACGGATGAGATAGAGTTTCATCTTGATGCTTAAAGCAAAATGAGGATGCTGGGAGATGGTTGTTGGATGAAAAGACTGTTTTCGGGTGGCGGATTTTACTGGGGATTGCTCGCGGAGATGCCTAAGGTGAGTCATGCTTCTCCATCTGATACACCATGCACAAATGATTCTTCTGCCTCTCTCATCGTGTATACATTTGTACTCTCGAATAATATGTCACTAAAAAGATAGCTATGATCGATGTAATTTCAAGATAAACCCTCTGAGAGGCAACCGGCTCTTCATAATACTAATGGGTTTATTTATGGCATCTCTAATCTCTATAGCCCTAGGACTCTACCTGGGAGGTTCATCAGCGATACCTTCTCATCCAAGCCCATTGATACTAGTTATTGAGGCCTTATGAATGGCACACTGGGAATTATGGTGCCGCTAGATCTTGGATCTCAACCTAAGTCTCTGAAAGCCCAGAGCAATATTTCGGTGGCCGTCTTTCCAATAAAAAGGGTATTTAAATCATCCTGTGTACACCTCGTCAGCTACAACAGGCAGTTTTTTTGCATGCTGACTTGATCTCAGATTAGAATCTCGCAGGTACCTTTCATCCCTAGAAGAGAAGGAGAGAGGAAACTTCTGTCATCTGTGAAGATGATGCTTTCTTAGCTTCCAGAGAGAGATAGACTGGGGAGAACTGATAGAGCATTCACTTCTTAGACTGAAACAAGTGTCCAATGTTCAGAATGTATATTAACACAAGGACTAGAATCCTGGAAATTTTCGTAAAATCATGTTCATATGCTAGGTCGACATTCACCTCCATGATAAAGTCCATTCACCAGCTATCCAGAATAGTGAATGTGAGAAGTGTCCATTCCATTCCTAATCCCCTCAAGCAGCTTTCCTCCTCATCCATACTCCCCCGACTCGCTCCTTGATAACCTCGTTACTCAGAACACCATGGAGCTACACGTCCATTTTATCCATGGCTATTATGAGGGTCCAATTCAGAAAAGCTGGTACTTATCAGGCAAGACACTCAACGCAGAGCCGGGAGGCACGGATTTGCAGATGGCGAAACCTCGCCAAGCTCTCCACCTCCCGAACTAATCAGCCAGGAAGAGCTCATAATGCTCAGAAGAGTCTTGTTAATCTCTCTAGTGCTTCAGTCATACCTAAGAGCATCCATGACACCATTCACTTTTGACTTTCTTGCCTGCAGTGTGTCAGACTTTGTCCTTCAAAGTGGCAGTATGAGAATTTACGCAAGTTCACGGTTTGAAAGTAACGATCATCTTGTGCTTGGGAATAAGGACAGTCGTGATTTCACCTGTAAGTCCTGGAAATTCTGCATACGTATGGATTTGCCCCTGACTAATGGTTTCAAGACTTTTGGCAAGAGCAGGAACAATCCGGCGAAAATAGGCAGTATGGTCTTTGAGTGAGGAAATACTCGAAAGAGCAATCTCTTTCAGCAACTCACAGATATGCTTCGCAATGGTCTCATGTCTCTCGTCTACCTGCTTTTGAGCAGACGAAGGTAAGCACATATAGCCCGATACACTTTCAAGTAGATGACTGAGGGATAACTTTTACTGGATCGAGAAGCCTGGAGTTAACCAGTGCATCCAAAGACCTTGGTAGGCAAACAACTATCGATATGCAATCGGCAAGCGGGATCCGGCATCCATAACAGACGTTGCAGATTTCACTGTGTATCCAAGTTTCACTCACAAAGGAAATAAGCGTCAATTTATATGCCCGCTGGTGGCTGAACACTTCTGAGGGAGAAACGCAGACTGCCATTACCATTCTATGCAGAAGAGAAGGAAGGCAATCACAATTAAGAGGTGGGAGTTGATCGGCCAGCTAACAAGAGGAGATCCGGGGAAGAGGGTGCCTGAGGTGCTTCAGAAGGTGGGTATAGCCAGGGCGATGATGCCCTATTTCACATCACTGGGGCTCCCCTGGTAATAGAATTTGAGAAATTGTTCCTTCAACCTGCTGAGAAAGATGAAGGCAAGGGGACATCATCATAGATCAAGACGACTTGGTCAGATGGCAAGGCTCATTAAGCAGATGAGTTTCTCCGCCCGACATATATGAAATTATCCAGGTATATGTCCAGAAGTAGCAAGGGAAACGACAATATCCCACGGTTGTCCAGTGTTCGACGGGCTGGCATGAGCCTCGCGAGCATTAACGATTTTTCCAATGACATGGCATGCACACTGAGCTCAATGCCCCATTCGGAAAGTTCCCAACGTCGTTCACGCTGACAGTAGGTAGTATATATGCTATCTTTCAGAGTTTCAATTTCTGACGGATGCGCTCTGTATAGGATGTGTCCAACATATACTTGTTAACGAATGATCAGCGTTCCTTCTGGGGTATAACACTCCTTTTCCAAAATCTATGTTGACATCCACGAGAGGAGGGCGCCGACGCCAATGTGAAAGATTTCGCAGGGCAGTCGTCGACTACAACGACTTCGCAAAAGCAGACTTCGCCAATCGTGATACTTTGTGGCGCGGCTTCATAATTAGTATTAACGCGCTATGGTCGAATCATGCCAACGCAGCTTCATGACGTTCGCCAGAGATGGTTTGGCCATGCTCGTGGCACCTGGATCTTTAATGGATTGATAAACCAGTCTGAGAATAAACTTATGGACATCGGTGTAGGAACAAGTATGTCCTTTGCTCTGTGGTTTATTGTCAGTGTGCTAATAAAGGACCGTTAAGGGGCACGGAATACTGAGGATATGCGAAGCAGTCATCGAGATATGGCGGCATATACCACCGAATACCCCAAGCCCTGTCACCAGACAGTTTAATGGCCTCCGTTAGCAGCTAGCGTTTCTCTCTCTCTCACTCTCAATCTTAGAGCAAAGAATCTTTCAGGCTGATCTATCAGCAAAGTCCAATTACCAAGCCATCACTACGTTCGTTCCACAATGGCCTCCAGAACCCATAACAATCCTGAGGAATTCGCCATTCCCGAGAATATCGAGAGCTGGATAGAACTTTGGGAGACCCATAAGCTCAAGAAATGACCTTGAGCAGTTTGGGGGATCTGCGCTCAGGATCAAAGATCAGTCACGCCCAATTTATCCTATTTCGGGCACTCTGGTTGCGCCTGAACAACCCGGAACAGCTCAAGGCCGCGTCTGGTATTCAGGAAAGGCATTGGATCGAATAACTCTTCTGTGCATAGGGAGTGGTAGCAAGCGCAGATCGGATCACCGACGCTCCAATGACCATTCCTTTCAAGCCTGTATGATGGGGCAACTGGACTGGATGAAACAGATATGTTCATGACAGTATCAGAATTCTGCGGCTTATTGCACAAGCATCTTGTTGATCAAGTCCCAAACCAACCCAAACAAATTTGTGTGGAACAGAAGAAGCTGAGAAGGTTAGAGCTTTAACATCATGGCTTGGATTCCACTGGGTAGAATTCGCCCTTGATCCTGAAAATATCCCACTGGTTTGCAGCAAGCTGAAAAGGGGTCTGGTTACAAAGGGGGTTGCCACAGGAATTAAGGGTGGTGCTCAAGTTGATAAGACGCCACTGCACTATTTCTTTGAAAATAGTAAAGCAAGCACTGGGGAGAGACGCACCTGGTTGGGGGTCAGTATTGCACAAGTGTTGTCCAAGCCCGGAGAGTGTCATGGGCTCCGTTGGCATGTCTCTGGATGTATCCAAGCTCTAGGAAGTCCGCGTCTCTGAATTGCGAACAGGGAAACTCACCTCAAGCTCCGACAGCTGTACGACCTCTACTTTTTTGAGGATGAAAATTCTCCTCTCTTCAAACAAGTTACCTGACCTGGCAATGCAATCAGAAGCAATTGATGGTGGGAAGAAACGACAGTTTGACGACGTCACGCTAGGTGACCCTCATTCGGCGAAGAGGCACCAAGGTCCTCGAGAGGGAGAGGGTGGAACTCAGTCGAGATGGAACCACATTCTGTCCAATCCTTCAGTGGAAAGTGTGTGCATACTGGAGCTTGGGACCAGACGTTGCTCTTACTCGGTGAAAGCTGCAGTTATTATGCAGGAACGTCCACTTGTTCTCCGAAGGAACGTCAACGAGTGTTGTTGACCAAGCCATTGGACGGGTCTGCCGGCTGGGGCAGAGGAAGATCGTCCTTGTCAACGACTACCAAGTTGAGAAGTTCTTTGACATTACCCTGATGCTTCGAAACAAGTCGCAGGCTGTTCTTGGGCTTCTGAGATGAAGGACAGATGACATACTCGAGGTCAGTCCGGCGTCGAAACCAGGCTTGTCACCCACCGAGACCATATCCCTTCTTCCAATGGCAAGATAGTTTAGGAGTTTATATATGTCTGTCATCGGTCCAAAGGCGTCTGGAAAGACGCGGGCTATTCCGCGATAAGCCATGTACGGGACCTTGCTGCCCTAACAATTATCTCAGAAAGAGCCAATCAGTCACCGATTCTACCACAGATCATTTCTTCACAATTGTGATCGAGAGTGGCTGGTCTGAGTCCTCTGGGAAGCTGAAGACAGTGTGCAGCGGGTCTATTGGTTGAATCTGATGAGGAGCAGGATCCTTAACTTGAACCTCTCCCAGCTCGGTTCCCGGACGGTCCTAAGGTAGCGAACTCTATCAAACAAGCGTTGGATGAGGCGGGACGCCTGATGTTCGGATTGAATGAATCTAACTGTGGCCCCCGTCCTATCGACACCCACAACACAATCCCAAAGCACAACCTCTCATTCACTTTGATCACCGATCGACCCAGACTTACCTGATGGCCCACGAAGAGGCATACCAGGGGATCAGCGGAATAATTCTCAAGAAACTCGCGGCCATGAATGATCTCAATAATCAGCTGCAACTGCTAGACAGTGCTGATGTCATGACTCCTTCGCGCACCAAACGGCAAGACTTCAACAAGTCGCAAAGCCATTTATACAGTGATTTTTTTCCACAGCTCGAAGTGCTTCTCACAAAAATGCCAGCCACTGAGGCCCACAAACTAGCACACCTGGGAATCCACAATACGCTTGTCACGATGCTCACAGCCATGAATGTCCACCATCAGCTGCTATCGCTCGGAAGGGCCAATGTCGTGACTCCCTCTCACACAAAACAGCCCAACCAATCATACTTGCCTGAGCAGCTCCCGTGCGTACTCGGAGAGCCAGAGCAAGCTGTGACTTTTGACAAACGGGGTGTCACAATGATTCGTGTCTTGCCGACGGTCAACCCGCATTACAGCTGTTCCTAAGTGGTAATTTGGCTTTCGAACTCAGCTGCTGTGATGTGGCAGTGCTTTTCTGCCAAACAGCAAGCTATATAATTCATGAAATTCCCACTAGGTTCCTAGAATCAATCAAACTGAATAATGTCAACCCGAGGTATGCTAGTCATTATCTGTCAGCCATTAAACCACTCAGCCAAAAAGGTGTCTAGACAACCATTTCTAGCATAGTAGGAACAACAGCGCAGATTCTGGTTAACATTATCATAGGATCCCCTTTACTGAGAGTATAGAGATAGTACTCCCATACCACAACGTGTCCTAGTAGTCAACTGGCTCAATAGACACATATCAAGCATCGTATTCGAAGTAAGGTACCTAATAACTACGAACAGTAGGTAATATGGCCTACTCTTATTACTGACATGGTAAGCACACGTGATGGTGCTGCCTAATCTCCTGCCTACCCAAGTAAGTTCAAGACAACAACTCTACACTACATCTGCGGTACGGTCTCTCAAAGACAAGCAGACACATTCTATTCCTCCTTTTAAGTCTAATCATTCAACAATTCATCTGTCAGGTCTCCAGCGAATCAAACCCATGCCTGCGAACAAGCTCCCCATCGACCTAACCGCCGAGATATCCAAAGTCGCCAAAGCCTCTCGGTTGCAAAACGGTCTCCCCAGCTCGATGCGAGCTCTACCTGCCATCGCATTATTTGCAGGGACGGCATTGTCCAAGACTACAGGAACCTCCAATGTCGTTGAGAAATGGATGCTGGGGGATGACGAAGTCCCTCTGCTTGGAAGTCTGACTGTGGGAACCACGGACAAGAAAGTCGAGGGGCGGACGGTCGAGGGACAATGTAACCAGCAAGGAGGCTTTGATCAGAGGACTAAGATGGATTGTAGATGATAGGCACAAAGATGGGTCATGAGCATGAAGCATTCATCTATACCGGACCACCCAAATCTATAACTATTTGGGTTTTAGCATAATATAGCTGGTTTTGCCTTGTGAGCTACAGCAATGTGTATGTGGGTCATTCTGCGAGCAGAATGAATCTGATTGTTTACCTACCCTTCTTGTGAAATGGTTTGGAGTAGGACGACACTAGAGAACTTGGTAGAAATATAGGAGGTTAGTGGAAGATTCTCGGCCAGCCGAGATCTCGGCAGCTACTTCGTGGTGATTACCTATGTCTGAGTACTTACAGCGAACATACCAGCAAGAGAGCAGATACATGCAGCCTGGAAAAACCCAGCCGCAAAGGCCCCCAGGAGAACTCTCATGGCTGGAACTTGTCTCCGGATTTCGGCGGACCCCAATCCCTGTTATCCTATTAGCTAACATACATGTTGGCCGGAAGTGCGCCATCACATACGCATCTCTACAATAAGCTCTAAGCCTGATGTGGAGGATCTCAAGACAAGCCCACAAGGCACTCAATGGCCACCAGAAGTGTGCTTTCAACTTTGTTCGAAGCTTGGGCCCATTAAAGGCAATGAGGCATACAACGGATGCCTTAGCGCGTCGCTTAGAAAGTGGCCGATTTGAAGCCAACCGCTATCACGCTGGCCCAGATGCCTTTAGCCTCATCGGATCCGACTCGCCTAACCACCACGCCAATTATGGTCAGCCAGGAGCCAAGTGAAGCTATTCGGATCCGACCCCCGCAAAGATCTGCACCCCGCCATATGGACCCCAAGAAGCCCCAAGATGAAGCCCACTAGGGCAATAAGAAATTCAATCGACCCCACAAGTCTTCAGCACTAAAAGAGCCCAAACTAGAAATGAGCTCACGAAGAGTAGGTCAGTTCCGACTCGGTTAACCACAACGCAAATGTGATCAGCCAGGGGAGGTGAAGCTGTTCAGATCTGTCCAAATCTAATATCAATAGACCAAAAAGGTTCTTTAATTAGGGATTACATATGACAATTACGGCCATTTATATCAACGGGATCTAAGCTACCCCAGAAAATCATCTATACCCCACAGTATGGTCTCCCCAAGATGAAGCTTGAGCTAAGGAAACCATTCGACCCCACAAGTGTTCGGCTGAATAGTCTCTAGGCCAATTAGGAACAAACTTATGGAAGTAGAGATCAGATCCGCCATGGAGAAATGATACTCTGGGGTAAATTTCTTCAGGAAAATGCGGGGTGCATGGTGATATCTCCCTGTCTTTTGTCGATGCTGCATTTCGTGGGACATCTGCCCCAACGAACTGGAAACTATAAATGCAGGTGTTCTTCCCTTCGTTATGACCTTTACCCAGCGTCGACTCCTCATATCATCCAAAGAATAAAACGTCACCTCTCATCTGCAGAAACAATGCCGAGCTTTGCTACTTTCCTAGGGCTGGCCCTGTCTGGAGCAGCCAGTGCATCTGCTGCCGCGCTCGGTGCATATAACATAGACCCGAATTCAGTTTCTGTCTCCGGGCTCTCCAGCGGCGGATTCATGTCTGTGCAGCTTGGTGTTGCATACTCTGACACTTTCAAGGTCGGTTTCGGGGTCTTTGCTGGAGGGCCGTATGATTGCGCTCGCGACCAATCGGTAAGTCGTTACATGCTTCCACGTCCTAGAGATAGTCGCTCGTCAATTAAATGGATATACTGACGCGAGCATAGTACACTTCGTGCATGTACAATCAAAGCCCGTCCATCACGGCCCCTGTCGCCAACATGAAGAGCTGGAGCGGTAGCCAGATCAACCCGGTCAGCAACCTCGCAAGCCGCAAGATCTACATGTGGACCGGATCGGCCGACACCACGGTTGGTCCAAACGTGATGAGCCAGCTGAAGGCGCAGTTGGCGAACTTTGACACTGCGGCCAACGTCTCGTATATCACGACAAGCGGTGCGGTCCATACCTTTCCCACCGACTTTGACGGATCCGGCGACAACTCGTGCAGCTCGTCTGTCTCCCCCTATATCAGTAACTGTCAGTACGACGGCGCAGGAGCTGTCCTAAAATGGATGTACGGATCGTTGAATGCTAGAAACACGGGCACACTGTCGGGCTCGATTGTGTCCTTCAGCCAAACGGGCGAGTACGGTGCCAGCGGAATGGACACCACCGGATATCTATACATTCCCAAGGCCTGCCAGGCTGGTTCTTCAACCGTTTGCAAGCTGCATGTTGCCCTGCATGGCTGCCTGCAGGGCTACAGCAAGATTGGAAACGATTTCATTTCTAACACCGGGTACAACATGTGGGCCGATACCAACAACATCATCATTCTCTACCCGCAAGCAGTTGCGGATAACACCATGCACACCATCTGGACTGGAATGTCGCTATCCAACCCGAACGGTTGCTGGGACTGGGTTGGCTGGTATGGAACAAACGCTGACCAGCTCGGAGGTGAGTTTACAAAGGAAACTTACGGAGTTTGATTGAGGTCAGACCTGTATACTGATTTACTGGCTCTGCTCAGGCGTCCAAATGGCTGCGATTGTGAACCAAGTCGCCCGGATTGTCAGCGGTTACGGGGGCGCCAGCAGCAGTTCCTCATCGACTACTGCTGCCTCCACCACTACTGCTACTACCCTCACGACTACGACTGGCTCTAAAACAACTACTACCACCGTGACCCCGACCGCTGTTGCCCCGTTGTATGGACAGTGTGGTGGACTCGGCTGGACGGGCCCAACGGCTTGTGCCACCGGTGTTTGCACGGCCTATAGCTCTTATTATGCCCAGTGTCTCCTGGTAGTGTAGGCATTTGACTTGAAAGGCAAAAAAGGACGAGGTTGTGCTCATCTAGGCAAAGTGGACTTCAATGATGTTGTGTCTTTGCTATTCTTTATCGATCTCATCCTCCCATAACCTTTAATTGACCGTATTGAGGCCCATCCATGCCATTTCTGCATCATCGTCAAGTCGTCTTAATCTATGACCACGTCTTCCTCGCCTTTCTCCTTCTCGCCAGGTCGAAGGAACAATTTCTCGAATTCTACTACCAGGGGACTGAATCTGTCTTGCATATTTTCGCCCTGCCAAACAGTAGAATAGAGCAAGGATGGATGGATGGCGCCAAGGGGATCTTACAGCATGGTAATTCCCATACTGATAGATTGTCATATTCGGTAATAGTTAACACCTGCTCCCAACAAGTGTAGACTGTAGATTGCTAGCACCGAATACGGACCAAGGGACATAGGCTGGGAGATATAGTCAAAGTGGACTTCAATGCTCGGGTCCGTAGAATCCCGTCTTCACTATTCTTCATCGCCAGATTGCTACGTCCGCGGGGTAGGGGGTCTCCTGGGTATGACCTTCGGGGCTGAACTTTCTTCAGAGTACGAACATCGCCGAGAAACCACTGCTACCATACAGAGAACCCGCTTAGGTTTCCTCTAGCACCAAGGAAAAGGTATCTTCAAGGTCGCGTAAGCCAGAGTTACCGTCGGGGAGAACGCTCTTCAAAGGGATGCCATCCTCGCATATGGTCCGAAGGCTACTATCCTGCAGGATGTTACAATGGCGGTTAGCATCAAACTAATGAGAGTTGACAAAACAGGATGGGAGAATACATACAGGTCCTCGGGGGAATCCCACGCGCCGTCCTTTCCAAGATAGTAGTAGGCACACTTGGAACCCTTTCCGTTCCAAATGCAATTGGCACAAGCACCGCCGAACAGGGCCCGCTTGCTCAAACCAGGAGAGGAGTACTCAGGCGAGACGACGCACGGAAGGTTCCAGCGTTCCCGTTGCATTGATCGCAGCGCTCGTCGCAAATCATACCTCTTTGTGCCGGATTTGTCAAAGGACCACTCTATATCTCGCACAACATCCAGCAGGGTGACACACGATCGCTCAGTACGACTTAAAGGAAACACAGCATCACGCGCAGCAGCCTCAACTGCTCCACGTCGGTCAGGGATAGACAAAGACCTCATCAACGAATGGTAATCGAAGGGAGAAAGGGAACTCAGGAGTTGGGATTGTCGTCTCCTGGGATCAGACGAAGGAGATGCTGGCCCATGCACCAGTGGCTTGAGGAGGTCGTGGAGTTGGGCGGCTAACTGGGGCAGCGCCTTGATGATATTGTTACACTCTATCCACCTCGACATGGAGTGTTCCTGAAACAACACCCACGCCTTCTGTGGTTCCCGCTGACCGAGGGGTTCAGTCCGCCATAGAGAGTGTTAAGGTTAAGCAGGGGCTCAAGTAGAACAACGCAGCTACACTGGCTGTGTAGGTTAAGACTGTGCGCACCACATTGGTATGAAGTGAGGAGGACTTCGCACTTGGAGTCAGCGTTGGTAAACTGCTTCGCAGCCTCGCGTCGTGCGGTCTTGCTCATTTGCGCCTATATGGTCACATAGCTCACACCAAGGCTATTGAGCAACATTTCTGTAAGCCACATTACGATCGGCCAGTGGACGAAGAGCAGAAACCTCAGACGCCACGCCCCTGACGCTGGCTGGCGCCAAAAACCCTCAGTCCAAAAGATGCGCATCAGGTAACGTAGCTTAACTGTGTCGGCCATGAGATAGTGCGCCTCCGCCAGCCGGGTGCGGACCGTCCTCTGTATCCGCATTTATCAAACCAATTGGCCTGTTTACGGTTCAGGTCTTCAGGATAGCGATAAATCGAGGTACCGTAGTGCCTCCCTTCAGGTTCGTCGATGGTACGACGTAGCGGAAGGTCAAGGTTACGCCACGCGCGCAGTACCAGCGGGAAATCGCGGTCTCCTTCGCCACATTCGCTATGTCCTGTGCCTGCAGGGTGATTAGCGGCTTAGCGGCAGAAGTACAATAAGTATCGGGATGCACTTACCGTAGGGATGAGGTTTGGTTGTGCGACAGTCAAGTATAAGCCAGTCTGTGATATGGCCATCCTGAATCCACTTGTAGTATCGACCTCATCCAGCCCAATTTATTCAACCGTATTGAGTCCCATCCATACATGTTCTGCAATCATGGTCAAGTCGTCTTGATCTATGACCACATCTTCCTCACCTTTCTCCTTCGCGGCGGGTCGGAGGAACAACTTCCTAAATTCTATCACCAGGGGGGCCTCAGTAATGTGAATTGGCGCATCATCACCCCCTCTGACACAACCACCTTCTGCACCACCTTGGGCACCTTTCTCTCTGGATCCCCTCTTGTCGGGCGGCTGATCAAGTCCCACTTCTCAAAAGTGATTCCTTTGCTTCTCTTCCACACTGAGATGGTGAGGACAGTTTCTACCTCCCCGCCGGAAGCATTCAGCCACCAGCGGGCATCGCTGGCCAGCTTGCTTTCGGCCTCTGAGTAGGCACTCTGAATCAGTACTGATGGCCACTGAGTAGAGCGGCTGGCCGGGATCTGCCTTGGCTTGTATGACTGGGTAGGCTGCTTAATGCGAGAAGGAGTCATAACATCAGTCCTTCCAAGCGATCGCAGCTGATGGCGGATATTCATGGCCGCGAGCCTCATGATAAGTGTATTATGGATCCCCAGGTGTGCTCCTTCGGTCGCCTGGGTGGCTGGCATTTTGGCGAGGAGAACTTGGAGCTGTGGGAAAAAATCACTGTATAAATAACTCTGCTCATCGTCAAAGTCATGCAGGAAGGTCTGCTCGTCGATGTTGGAGAAGATCACGTAGGGGTGTTTTGATTCCGCTGCTTCTTTGTAGACAATGTCCCGACAGTGTTGGATGCCCTGGTAGGGATATTCACTGGTAGTGGGACTCACCCCGAGGGCTCGGCGGCTGATGCTGTCTGTATTCACTGCCATTTTGGAAAGGAGGGAAACTGGCTGTATTCACTTTCTAGACTGGAAAGGCTTGAGTTATGAGAGGTGATGTATGTAGACATATACACTTCCATCTGCTACCACCTGATATGGAATCCTGGATATTCTGAGGATACAGTTGATCCAGAAAATGAATCCTTAACACTTTAATGACTTCAGCATGATGCCATTACTTACAATCTCTATCAAAATACTTAGCTGATGTCTGATGAACCCGCCTGCACAAAACCACTCAGCAGTAGAAACTTATAGATACATTAATAGAGTAAGATTGAGTAGTGATACAGCAACACCCCCTGGGTATATAGCGGACCCTAGGTTTTGGGATGTCACATGACTGTTAGCTGCCTTATTGGGTAAGAGGTGTCAGAATATCCTCAGGGGGGTTCGTTGTATCACTACCCTTAGATTATAGACATTATGGGCGGTTATTGGTGGACTGGGCATTGACTTCTTCACTTTCCTAATAATAGACCAGGAATCCATCGAGCTCGAGCCTGGTGGCCCGGTGGGAACCCGTCCTATCTCCACTGGCGCAGATCATCAACGGAAGACAGATCAATTCCTATCACGTGCATATCCTTTGATTAGCACGTGACCCCTGTCAAACACTTCAACTGTCGCATATAGTAGATACCCCTGATTCCACCTCAGCCCAAGTGTCATAACTTACGGGCGTCTCTTACTCGGTCCTATTCCAGCGCTCTGCCTCGCCCTACGCGTCCAGTCGCGTGAAAACGCGCTTGGCGGAGATGGCTCAGAACCGCACCCGACATGAAGGGCCCCTACAAGCAGCTCTTCAAGAGTCTACGGATGCCGCCGCAACCAGAGCCACAGAAGGACAGAAGATCTTCAGTCCCATTGCAGCTTTCCTGGATAAACACCGTGCTCAGTCCTCCAGTCTTGCACCGCACCTACAGAGTGCTCTCGCCCTCTTGAGCAACGATCTTGCTGCAGTGGCTCAACGCCACTTCAATGCCTTTATCAGCGGCATAGATGTAAGCGAGATTTGCAGCCCTCCTGCCCTCGCTGCTCATAAGCCTCTATCTCCCCCGGTCTCTCGCCCGCCCTCCAGCCTGAATCAGCCAACCTACGCTACGGCTGTCTGCCTCCCCGCCTCAAGCAAGCCAATTCCTAAAGCAAAGAAGCTGAACAACACCCAAACCTCAGATAGGCAGTCCAAAAAGTCCGCACTCTCTGCTAAGCCGCCTCCCCCAGACAACCGCCTCTTCATCCGTCTACCGGACGGACATCCGGCTAGAGACATGCAGTCCTATGCAATTTACTCCAGCCTCCGAGCCCGACTAGGCCCAGATGGCGCCATGCTAAAAGAAGTGCAGTCTACAAAGACTGGCTTTGCCCTTTGCCCCTCTACTCCTGACGATCTCTCTGCCATGGAAGCTCAGAAGGAGACTTTCTCCTCCTTTTTTGGTGAATGCCGAGTAGAACGCAGCTCACGCTGGATCTCATATAGAGTGGTCCCAAGGACCATTGGGCAGCTTGTCCAGAATCAGCACTCCCTCGTCCTGATGAATCCGGGGACTTTGGCCACGGCAATTGCTGAGTCCACTAGCCTTAATCCCATCTCAGTTACTGAAACCGCTGCAAGCGCTGCTGACAAGTACTCTCCCTCTTCCAGCTGGTTTATCAACTTCCCTGAAGGAACAGGAGTAGCCCTCCCACGCCAGCTACGTCTCTTTGGTATGGTCACCAATGCCCATCCCCTGTCTAGGAAGACAAAGGTTATACAATGCAACTGGTGCTGGAAATGGCACAACTCCCGATCTTATGCTCGTCACCCCTGCTGCCGCCTCTGTGGCTCTACTTAGCACACAGAAGAGGGGCACACCAGCCACTGCGCTGCCCAATCCCCTCACAACTGCCCCCCGAGATGCCTACACTGCCACGGCCCACACCCAGCAGACCATATGGAATGTCTCCTCCGGCCCAGCAGGGCAGGCACTACATGCACTAAGGCCCAGCGAGCCGAGATCCGCAAGACCGGCTCTCTGAACCTAGCTAAAGCTCGCATGGAGAGCAACTGCTGCACACAAACTCCCACGACCTCCCAGGATCAGACTATGGCTATGGACAGCGAACTTACAACACTGCCATCAGCTCAATCGACGGCCTCTCCCTTCCGTGCAACAACACCTCCACCTCATGTACCCGCGGACTCTCCTCCAGTCACAGCTCAGGCAGTCCGCTTTGCAACACCTAAACCTCATAACTGGTTTGACGTTCTATTAAACGAACGACTATGATATATCGAACTTGCTCAAATATGGAGACACTTCCGATGCTCCAGCTAAATGTAGGCCGCGGGCCAGCAGCTCATGAAATTGCCCTCTCTCTGGCATACTCCAGCGGCATTGATATCATCCTTATACAGGAGCCATACATATACACTGACCTCAGCTGACAAATCACAAAAAGGCACCCATCATACAAGTGCTTCTCCCCAACAGACAGCTGGGTTGCAAGCGGTCGACCCTGGGTACTCACCTATGTCCAGAAAAAGATGGGCATTCGGGCCTCTCAGCTCCGCCCTCAGCCAATAGATCAGGATGCTCTCTCAGACCTTCTTCTACTACAGATTCTCTCCCGCTCTGGACAATCTGCCTTGATAATTAACATCTAT